CCTCCCAAGTAGCTGGGACTACAGGCGCCCGCCACAACGCCTGGCTATTTTTTGGTTGCAGCCGTCATTGTTGTTTTGCAGGCCCAGGCTGGATTCAAACCCGCCAGCTCAGGTATATGTGGCTGGCACCTTAGCCACTTGAGCCACAGGTGCCGAGCCCTAGCTATTTTTTTCTTGTGGTTTGGCCGGGGTCAGGTTCGAACCTGCCACCCTTAGTGTATGGGGCTGGCGCCTTACTCACTGAGCCGCAGGCACCGCCCTTTCCACATGTTATTTCATGAAACACCTCAACGAGGACATGAGCCACCTTATCCCCATTTTATAGCCAAGAATACTGGAGCTAAACTGGGTGGAGCTGGGGAAGTGACCTATCTATGCCAAGATCCCCCTCAATTTGACGTACAAGCCTTTCTCTGTGAATGTGCATGTGATCTATTTGTAAAATGGGTGGAAATTTTCGCATCCACCTTGGAAGTGCTTTATATGACTCTCTAGGAAAAATACAAAATGGACCAATAAAAACTCAAAGCAAAGATGATGAATAGTCAGCACAAAAAATGGTTCAGAAGTAAACAAGTGAATGTGGTTTGAAGGCAGCTGGTCTTGATTTGTTGTCTCTCTTTGTCTGGGTGGACGCTTAGGAGCCAGACCTCTGCCACCCAACCCTCCTCCTTCTCACAGCCCCAACTGAGCAGAAACACCATCTCCAGCTTCGAATCCCAAGGGAGGGACCATTTACTCCCCAGTCTTCAGTGCCATGTGCAATAACCCCAAAATGAAATACAAGACTTAGCACCTGAACAGAAGGTTTAAAATATGAGCCAGGCTGATGGCTCATGCCTGTAATCCTAGTACTTCAGGAGGGCAAGGTGGGGGTCATTTGAGGCCAGGAGTTTGAGACCAGCCTGAGCAACATAGTGAGACCCCGTCTGTACGTGAACATTAAAAAGTAAATTAGCTAGGTATAGTGGTGCATGCTTGGGGTCCCAGCTCCTCAGGAGGCTGAGTAGGGAAGATCGCTAGAGCCCAGGTGTTTGAGCAGTGATTGCACCATGCACTCCAGCCTGGGTGATAAAGATACACCCTCACTAAAAATAACTAATAAAGTAAAATAAAATAAAATAAAATCGGAGTCCTTCATTCCCGTATTGTAAGAATGTTCACTGATATTTCTTATCATCTTGGGTTTCGAGTAAGTCTTGTTTCCCTCTTCTTCCCCAGACCTATTTTGGGAGCATCATAGGAAATCCACTGTGACTCACAGAAAGGATGAGGAGGCAAATAATTCCCAGCTTCGTATAGGTCATTCCAGAGATTTGCTGGGCTTTAGATTTCCTTCCAAAAGCCCACGAGGTTAGAAATCAGAGAAATTCAAGAAATAAGTAGTGCAAAAGGAGTGCAAGGCCAAAAAACATGAACGCATGTAGCACAAAACACAAAAAATGCCCTTGGTGTGTGATGTCTGATAGGGGTTCTTTAAGCAAACAGGTGATGGTGTGTGTGTGCCTGTGTGCTGGTGTGTACACGCACATGTGCAGGAAGGTGGGGGAATGGAGAGTCAAGGGATGGTAATAAAGCAATGGAGAGGAAAGTAAGAGAACGAAAAAACCAAAAATCAATCCCGGTTTTAGATATAAACCCCCAAAGCTCAACCGAATCAGAAAAAAAAAGTATTAAAATTATCGGAGCTGTTTTAATTATATATGAAAACTTACACGTTGAAGAGAAAGAGCGGGGCTAAGACCACAGAGGGAGTTGTGTGCGGTACTGATAAATCACTCCATCCCATTTTAGAAAGAACAGGAACTGTTCTGTGGGTTGCTTAATGGCGAATGACACAACATTTTCATTTTATATTTGGAAATGAAATTCCTGTGAGGCTACAAATAACTCAAAGTGGAAAATTGCTACCACACAAACTTTTCATAAATGGGCTCTATCTATGTGCGGTGCTTATTTACTGGATAACCTTTGTGGCTCGGCAAACCATTCAGTGGCGGCCACTATCATCCTGGAGTCCCAGGCTGATCCTCCCAGGCAGGCAGAGCAGTGACTGGTCTCAGAGGAGAAGAAAGGAACTTGGAGATCAGGATTTGCTTAAACTCAAGTGTTTCCATTTTTACCAACCCTCTGAGTCCCCACATTATTTCCCTTTGGTCTGGTGACTAATTTTGCAAAGTTCATCACTGACTCTTGACATGGAGTCTTGTGATGGTTACAGGAAACTCAAGAAAGGAAGATGCTGAACCGTAGCCTCAGCAATTTCTCCAACCTAAAAAGCAATGGACAGAAGACCTGGAGGGCTTAGCTCTACACACAGCCTCCTACAGACACTCACTGCGCTCACCGTGACCACACTGTCATCAAGAAAGACAAAGTTTCTCTGAACTAATTCATCTGGGGAGGTCTAAGAAGTTTGTGAACTGTAAATCCCCTCTGTGTGAATGAGTACCTTCCTGGTAAGCAGTCGTGTTTTAGAAGCTCGGAGATTTCTCTTCCCACCTTCCATTGCCCTCAAAGTCCTTTCCTGGCCCTCTCATGATCTTCAAGGTAGGATCCTGGGAATCCTCACCCCGGGATTCTGCTCTACCTTTAAGGAGCATGTGTGTGACAGGTTTAATGTCACCTAGATGAGGCTGCAGATTCACCCAAGCTTCCTTTGTGTGACAAAGAAGCCCCTTTCTAGCTTAGACCCTTTAAATGGTGTACAAAACAGAGTCCCTGCCCTCAAAGAGATCACCACGTGGAGGGGAGAGAGACAGCCAGTGAGAAAAGAAACCGCCCTATGACGACCCCTTCTGCACCTGCAGGAATAGCGGGGGCCGTCACAGGCTATTTAAACTGGGAGGGAAGGGAAGTCTTCTTGGAGGAGATTTAAGGCATGAAGCAAAAGATGAAAAAAGATGCCAGAGGAGAAGGGTGGGGTATGAGGACGGGATCAGGGGAGTGGCGGGTCAGGCACTCACAGATTCAGGGGCTTTGATGAACACTTTGCTCCTCCCCAGCTGGAACTGATCACTGTCCATGTTGACGGACTGCAGCAGGTGCAGGACGCCTTGCTTCTCGTCTCCTCGCCATGAGGGCCAGGTGGCTTTGGTCAGGATGGCATACCTGTGGGCACACAGGGGAGAGGGGGGGGTCAGACTTGGGTGCACCCCCTGGGCTTTCTGCTGGGGCAAAGCAGTGAAAACTCTGCTGGTGCTGCTGGGCTCTTGCTGGGGTGCTGCCCATCCAGACCTCCGCTGAGTCTGGGACAACCACAGCAGAGCCATCGCCCATTGTCTCCCTTTCCCACCATTTCCATGTTAACACCCAGGTGAAAATCTGCTTTCCCTTTCCGCCACTGTCTAAAAATAGTATCGCAGACGGTCACCAGTGACACTCTTCAGGCAAAATGCAATAGGCTTTTCTCAATAATAACCCCCTCCCCCGATTTCTTTAGAGCACTTAACAGTTAATGCAAAGAGTTTGTCAAGCTCCCTCTAAGCAGCTGTTATTACTACTGTGCATCAATGTTCATCTGTTTTTTAAAGTCTTTTAACTTTTACTACTCAAACAAGCTTCATTCTCTTACTTAGCTTTCTGATTCTGTGCTTGTGTCTTCAACACTTTCACAACGATTTTCTGCTCCTTGATAAGGAAAGCACGCTTGATCCTGTCGTGAACCCATTTTGCACACATGGAACCCCCACGGGCCGTGGTGATGGGTTTTTTGTTTTGGCAAATCTGGTAAGAACTTTATATCTCACAGCATGAACCCTGTGACGCCTGCCTGGGCACACGCCACATGCAGATTTTGGCGTTTCTCCAACCTTCTTGGTATAAAGGTACACACCATTGCCGGGGGTTCGGGACAGCCTAGTTTTATTAGCAGCTGTATTGTAGGAAAGCCCACCATGGTATCAAACACTGCACCATTCTGGGAGCCTCTAGACAGCGTCCTCAGAAGAGGAAAAAGCATCAACTTTCATTTCTGAAATTCTGTGCATCTAGAGTCAGGCAGCCCTTGTAATCCGGCCCCCAGAGGTTCTCCCTCTCTGGGGGGACGGCCTCTTCTTCACACTGGGCTCGCTGGGTCCTGTGGGGATGGCCTCTTCTTCATGCACACGGAGCTCCTTCCCTCCTCAGAGGCTTTGCTCATGCTGTTCCCTCTACCTGCTGTACTGTTCTCCAAGCTCCTCACTGGGCTGGCTCCTGCTCAGGGTGACTCACCTTCATGACACTTCCAGATGGGCCTTCTTGGCTCACCCAGTAAAAACTGCACCTCTGTTTCTTTCTCTTATAGAAAATGATACTTTTCCTTCACCCTGAACGCGCCTGAGCTGGTCTGATCTTGGAAGCTAAGCAGGGTCGGTTTTTACTTGGATGGGAGAAAATGATACTTTTCCTTCGGAGCATGTACAGCAATTTGTAATTACATTGATTCATGTTTGCGTTTATTTGGTGAATCTACGCCTCCCCTGTGAGGATAAGAGTTCTGAGAGTGGATGCCACATCTGCACGGTTCACGCTGTACACCCAGCACCTTAATGACACTGGTCACACCACAGTCGTAACTAACATTCCTGCCTAACATTTATATGCGGTGCTCTCTCTGCAGCTAGTTCTGCTATGGGTGCTTTAGACATATGATCTCATTTTATTCTTTTTTCTTTTTTTTCTCCTGACAGAGTCTCACTATGTTGCCCTCAGCAGAGTGCTGTAGTGTCCCAGCTCACAGCAGCCTCAAACTCTCAGGCTTAAGCAATTCTCTTGCTTCAGCCTCCCAATTAGCTGAGATTACAGGCACCTGGAACAACGCTCAGCTATTTTTTTGTTGTAGCTGCCATTGTTGTTTTTTAGCAGGCCCCGGGCTGGGTTCCAGCCTGCCAGCCCCAGTGTATGTGGCCAGTGCCCTAACCACCGAGCAAAAGGCATCAAGCCAGATCTCATTTTATTCTTAAAATAACTTGATCAGGTTAGTGTGCCAGTTTTCAGAATAGGAGGCAGAGGCAAACAGATTTTCCCAAGGTTACTTAGCTGTGCCAGAGCCGGGATTTGAACCTCAGTCTGTCTCTATAATTGTGGCACTGCATATACGCTATGAATCAACTTGTATGAAAATATTTCCTTTAAAGATTATATAGTCTGCTGTTTGTGCCTGGTCGAAACATTACTGTTTATCAGAGGCTGATATAATGGAGGAGAAAGAGGTACATTATAGGATGTCAAACACGGTAGGAAAAATCAGAGAAAAAGCATGTGGGTACGAGTATGGAGGGTATGGCCCACGTGCATGCACATCTAGGGTGCAGGGAAAAGGCATCCAGGCCTTGAAAGAAGCCAGGATCCTGCCTTATTCTCAGAATTACGATCAGCTAAAGAAGGGAATCTTGGGTGACCCTCACTTTAGGATCCAGAGCTTCTGTCTGGCCAGCTGGCTGGGACCCAGGCGATTCTAGGAACCTTCTCTGCTCTCCAACCTCCTTTCTCTGCTTCCCAATCTCCCTCCTCCAAATTCACATCTTGCCTTTTATAATACAAAGTGTCACTGAAGGTGAGTCACTCCTTATTCTAGGAGATGTAAATCCTGATTAGAGATGAAAAGTTTAAAAATGAAAATGCCCAACTGAAGCCACCGATGAGCACGAATACATTTCATATGTGGTATCAATGAAGTTAACTAAAGGGATTAAGCCACATATAAATGACTGACAGCAGAGCCCTTCTGGGTATGATTGGGGGAGCTGGGGAGCACACAGGAAGGTACTGGGAATCTAATGGAAAGAGGGGAAAAAGTCCATGGAGGGGAGGGGTGAGAATGGAAAGAGTAGATCTTCAAGGTTGACCAGTGTCTAAAGGTGCAATTTTTCCTGACTTGATTGAATCAAAATTATAAACTGAAATTATCTTACTGGGCAACTGCAGACAGGTCTCTATTGTAATTCACAATTTTCCTCTTTAAAAATAATGCAGTATTCTCTCATTTGATTTGTTTTTATAGCACGTAACTTCGCAGACTCTCTCTCTCCCTTATCCCGACCGGGCCTCCGGGAGTGCAGAGGAATTGCCTGGTGCCGTCTTTGCTTCCAGGAAGCCTGATGCGTCCTCACCCTACCCTGTGGTGTCCCACCGGAGAGGCCGGGGCTCAATTCTAGCACAGCGCTCTCCCACCAAGTACAACCAGTTCCCTGTTTCTCCGGGATATACTGGTGGGCACAGGTTGCACAGGACAGTGCTTAACTGGTGCCCGCGATGACTGTGGAGAGACAGTGATAATAGCTACCTTTCCTTTCATCAGGCATTTTCAGCTTAACACTCAAATATGCCACTCTTTCCTATCAGAACCTTTGTGCCGGCTCTTCTCTTCTGCCTGGGATTCTCTTATCCGCCTCTAGACTGGTCAGTTCCTTCTTATCTCTGGATCATCAATCCGATGTTTCCATCTTAGAGGAAATGCAGCTCAGATACACCAGTGACCTCCGGCTGCCGGGGCTTGGGGTTACGTATGTCTCTGACCTGGACACCCATAAAGATCCTGGCAGCCCGCAGGCCACTCTCTCCCTCTCCACATCCCCGGCTTCCTGTTCTTTCTTCTCTCCCACTCTGGTGTGAAATGTCTTGCCTGACAAGGCCCCCTTCTTCACACCCTCATTCTGAGAGGTGGAGTCAAGGTCAGAGGAAGAAGGATGCTGGTGAGGAAGTGTGAATTGTGCCACTAAATAAACTTTGCGAGTTTCTTGTGTTCCTACTCCATTTTTCTTCCTAAGAATTCGAATCTGCATTTGGGCTTATTTCTCTCAACTACAGGAACAAACACACATTGCGTAGGCCAGAGAGGTGGAGAGGTGTTTTTCTGGAGAATATATATATATGTATATACATTTAACACTTTTTGAAGGCATGAATATTGAGAGAAGATGGTGAAAAGGGTTCTTCCCACTACAGCTTAAAGTAGTTCAGGATTTACTTCAAGAGCACATGGCCCACTGGTGGAGAAATTAAGGCATCTTTTGATTTTGCTCTCCAATACTCAGTCAAGAGAGATGGTCTCCAACTCTAGGCTGCAGATGGGTACTGGTCCAGTGGCCTGTTAGGACAGGCAGCACAGCAGGAGGTGAGCAGCAGAAAACCATCTATATTTATAGCGGCTCCCTGTCTCTTACGCAGCTGCCCGAGCTCTCACCTTAGATGCCCGAGCTCTCACCTTAGATGACCGTAGGAGCTCAGACTCTAGTGTAAATTGCATGCGAGGGACTTAGGTTGGGCGCTCCTTAAGAGAATCTAATGCCTGATGACCTGAAGTGGAGATGTAATGTGCTTGAATCATCCTGAAACCATCCTCCTATCCCCCCAGTTTGTGGAAAAACCGTCTTCCATGAAACCAGTCCCTGGGGACTGCAGATATAAAGGATTTTTAGAGGGGAAATGAATACACACTAAACACACAAACTGTTTTCTAAGCCACCACTAGGCTAGGAGTGTATCACTGGTCTGTTTCAGCCTGTGAGTTATCTTTCTTTCTAGAGACAGTGTACGATACACGCATATGTGGATAGTAGTGCTGGGTATTAATAAATCCTTTCTGTTTAAGCTTTTACTGACTGTTTCCCACTTGGCAGACTTTTGGTGGACACTTAGAACAAAAATTGATAACCAAAGTCTTTCCTCTCAGCCTTGGAGAGAATAAAGGTACGAGATGGTTTAATTACTTTCAGGGCTCCACAGAAGGAGACCGTCAGTGGCAGACTCTAGCTATATTCTGCATGACCAGAATCCCAGACACACATACTTCATGGAATATGGGGATGTCTCTGGAGAAATATTCCCTGCCAGTGGGCAAAGTGGACAGCTTTATTAACAGTTTTAAATACAGTGTAGAAGACTGAAAATGTACTTTTTATTGAAGCATACATTTTCTTCTAAACTTTATTTTGATTGCCCTCCTGGTATTCTCAAACCAAGAGAGGTCTGACAATAAAAAATGCCCATTTATTTATTTATTTTTGGAGACAGAGTCTCACTCTGTCACCCTGGGTACAGTGTTGTGGCATCCTAGCTCATAGCAACCTCAAACTCCTGGGCTCAAATGATCCTTCTGCCTCAGCCTCCCAAGTGGTTGGGACTACAGGTGCCCATCACAATGCCTGGCTATTTTTTCTCTTTTTAGTAGAGATGGGGTCCCACTCTTGCTCAGGCTGCTCTTAAGCTCCTGAGCTCAAGTAACCCACCCACCTCAGCCTCCCAAAGTGCTAAGAAGCCTCACTTTTTTTTTTTATAAGACAAGACTATTTGTCTTTTCTCAAAAGAAAAGTCACAGCAGGGGAGCTAAGAAGGGGTGCACTGAAGGATGGAATCATTTCAATAAAAGCTCCTTAGCATAGGGAGTCTAACAGATTTCACTAAACTCCTACTCAGTGGGAGACACAGCATGAAGCGCCACAAACGGAATCAATGAAGTCATTTTGCAGCTTAAGGGAAGGAGCTGCTGCAAACAAGCATCATAATCCCCAAGACCCTAAAAGCAGAGCGTGAAATTCTTGCTTTGCAGGACTGCACAACTCACAGCATTGCATACAGAAGTTGGGTCAGTTTTTTGTTTTTTATTATTTTTTTTTGAGACAGAGTCTCACTTTGTCACCCCCAGTAGAGTGCACTGGCATCATAGCTCACAGCAACCTCCAACTCTTGGGCTCAAGCAATTCTCTTGCCTTAGCCTCCCAAGTAGCTCACACATGGCCACAACACCTGGCAATTTTTAGAGACCGTCTTGCTCTGGTGATCCACCCGCCTTGGCTTCCCAAAGTGCTGGGATTAGAGGCAGGAGCCAGCATGCCCAGCCCCAAATACCGAAGGCAGATTTGGTTTTTCAAAAAAAAAAAAAAAAAAATCAAGATTAAAATAAAGGGGGGGGGGAGTCTGATCAATTCTTCTTATTTTTTTTTAGTGTTTTCTGAGACAAGGTCTCACTCTCACTTCTGGAATGCAATGGTGCAATCACAGCTCATTGTAACTGTGAACTCCTGGGCTCAAGTGATATTCCTGCCTAAATCTCCCAAGTAGCTGAGACTACAGGTGTGGACCACCATACCTGGCTAATTTTATTTATTTTTTGCAGACACAGGATCTTACTATATTGCTATCAAACTCCACGCTTCAAGCAATCCTCCCAATTTGGCCACCCCAAATTCTGGATTACAGGTGTGAGCCACCACACTCGACCACAGTTTTTAATAGTAATGCCCATTAGAATGAATTTGCAAATATTAAAAGAGATTTTAAGTCCATGAAAAATAATGAAGGACATAAAATTACAAGTGCTTTGGAAGTGCCTTTGCGGGCAAGCCTTTCTGAATCGGAGAAATGTGGAGGAAATGGGTCTTTGTTCATTATTTTTTCATTTGATTTTTTTTTTCCTTCTTAATTAAAAAAGGGTATTTCCGACTCTGGGAGGCTGAGGTGGGGGGATCACATGAAGTCGGGAGTTTGAGACCAGACTGAGCAACAGTGAGACCCCATCTCTACTAAAAATAAAAAAAAACTAGCTGGATGTGGTGGTGAGCTCCTGTAGTCCTAGGAACTTATGCAGGAGGATCGCTTGAGCCCACTAGTTTGAGGATATGTGAGCTAGCCTGAGCAACAGAGTGAGACTCCATCTCAAAAAAAAAAAAAAGGTAGCCCTCCTCCCCAAAACTCTTAAGCCAATGGCTCTCAGCTGGCTGTGCCCCCACGGAACATGGCAATGTCTGAATATACTCTGGGTTGTCACAACTAGAGGTTGGGGGCCCCTATTGCTATTTAGTAGGTTAGAGGCCTAGGAGGCTGCTTAACCCCCTACGGCACCCAGGACAGTCCCTCCCAGCAAAGGCTCATCCAGTTTAAAGTATCAATAGCCGAAGTTGAGAAACCCTGTTTGAAGCTAGTGTGACCGATTTGTTTAGGGAAGATTAAAATCTTATAACTGACACCTGTTGTTTGTCAACAAATGGATGGTGCTATAGCAATGCAAAAGTTCTACAAATTTATTTTCTCATCTTCCTAAACACTTCTTTTATACAGTCTTACATATTCTTACACTATTGGCCCCTTCCATTCAAAGAAGAGAAGGATGAATTTGATTCTCCGTCTAACTCCCCTCTGAAAGTACTGGGAAAGTTGAATGTGTGGGGACTGAGTTAATGGGGCCTTATTACATGGAATGATTGGCCCTTTGTTAAAACTTCTAAGGGACAGCTGTCCTAATCTCCTGGAACAAACACCAGCCCTAAAAGAAGAACTCCTATTACAAGTTTTAGGTTTCAGGTGGGTACAGGGGCTCACATCTGTATCCTGGAGGCTGAAGTGGGAGGATCTCTTGAACCCAGGAGTTCAAGGCTGCAGTGAGCTATGTTCATGCCATTGCACTCCAGCCTAGGCAACAGAGTGAGACCGTGCCTCTTAAAAAAAGTTCTAGATTTCAAAGACAGTAATTGATCTCTTCACTTTGCCAGTTCTTTGTTTTATAACATTTGAATTGTAAAAAATCCTTACATCCTGCTCCTGTGTCATTTCACTCGGAAAACATAATTGTTTTCCGATCAAAATGCTAAATCTAGCTTCCTTCTTACTATTATTAATTTTTTTTTAGTTTTCCTCTTTCTTAAAGGAAATGACATAGATGTAGAAAATATAGTGGAATGCCATAGAATCATTAGAGAAGTTAGAGCGATATAATATTTTGAGGTCACTCAGTTTAACCCTTTTCAAAAATAACACACAGAGTGAACAAGGTACGTACACATCCTGCCAAATATATTTTACAGGAAATATAAAAATCAGTTTACATTTATTTATGCATGGACTATACAAAAATTTTGAGGTTAAATATTTTAAGCTTATTGTCTTCAGTGGCTTTAAATATTTTCTTTCTCTCTCTCTTTTCTTTGCAGTTTTTGGCTGGGGCTGGGTTTGAACCCGCACCTCCCGTATATGGGGCCGGCACCCTACTCCTTGAGCCACAGGCACTGCCCCAATATTTTCTTGAAATTGTTTTCATATTTTTAATTTGCTCAGTCAAGTTTAACCTCAGCTCTTCCTATGTCACAGTTTTCATCAATTCTTGAACTTATGTGTTACACTAAACAGCCTGCTTGTGGCTACTGATTTATTATACAATAAATAATGATAAAAAGAATTCTATTACTATAATGATAAAAAGAATTCTATTACTACTCAATGGTAAAAAGATAACATGCCCAATTAAAACATGGGCAAATGACCTGAACAGACATTTCTCCAAAGAGTAAACACAAATGGGCTGAAAGACACGCTCAGTATCATTTGCCATCTGGGAAATGCATTTCAAAATCATGAGACACTACTTCACATTCGCCAGGCTAAGTTAGACAGTAAGTTCTGTTGGTCAAGAACTGGAAAAATGAGAGCCTTGAGATACTGCTGATGGGAAGGTAAGATGGTGTATCCACTTCAGAGAACAATCTGACAGTTCCTCAAAAAGGCTAAACAGAGTTACCGTAGGACCCAGCAATTCCACTTTTAGGTATATACGTACAAGAAATAAAAACATTCAAACACACAAAAACTTGTTCATAGCAGCATTTCGTAGTATCCAAAGAGTGAAAATAACTGATGTCTGTCAGCTGGTGGATGAAGAAGTAAAATGTGGTATAAACATACTGTGGAATATTTTTTTGCAATAAATAGAAAAGAAGGACAGATATGTAAGAAATGTGGATAAATCTTATGTTACGTGAAGGAAGCCGGTTCCAGCGGAAATGTTTATGATTCTACCTATATGAAAAGCCCAGCACTGGCAATTCTGTAGGAACAGAAAGTACATCAGTGACTGCTGAGGGCAGGGGGCAAGGGGAGAACTGGGGGCTGACAGCAAAGGGACGTCTTACTTCTTTTCAGAGTAAGAAAATACTCAAAGGCCAGGTGGCGCAGGGGCTCACATCTGTAATCCTAGCACTGTGGGAGGCCAAGGCAGTTGGATTGCCTGAGCTCAGGAGTTTGAAACCAGCTTGAGCAAGAGTGAGACCCCGTCTTTACTAAAAACAGAACAAAATGAGCTGGTTGTTGTGGTGGATGCCTATAGTCCCAGCTACTCGGAAGGCTGAGGAAGGAAGTTCTCTTGAACCCAGGAGTTTGAGGTTGCTGTGAGCTAGGCTGATGGCATTCAAGCCCAGGTAATAGAGTGAGACTCTGTCTCAAAAACAAAAACAAAAAAAGTTCTAAAATTAATTGTGGAGACAGATACATAACTCTGTGAATATATTAAAAGGCATTGAAATGTGTAAATTGGATGGTGTGTGTATTATAGCTCAATAAATCTGTTTTTTAAGAAAAGGTCGAGTCACTGGTTCATTACCTCTGCAGGAATTTTTGGAAGACACGCCGATAGGCATAGCCAGCCCTTCTCACGCGAATGTTTTCCTTCAGACCCAGATATTCTACTTGATGCTTTACCCTGTAAAGAAGAACACGGGGCCTGGACATTACTGGATAATCCTGGTACCCAAATTCTTACCAGTAACGCTCCACCCCCAGCCCTCAATTCCAATCTGCAGGGAAACATAGGAAAAAGATTACAATTCACAGTGTCCAGACGCCGGACTGACCTCTCAGATTATATAACTCTAATTTTAAAAAATTTTACTGAACCCTAACCCTACTGAAACACAGCAATTATACAACAGGGCATTATACAAACCCCATATACCTATCACACAGATGACTTTTGACTTAAATGATGCTAGAGCTGTTTTCATTATTGAACTTAAATTTAATATTGATTCTAGACTTAGTGGGACTATAGTTATAGGCTTTTCTACATCAAGTTGAGAAAACGTGTAGAAAACTATTATTTCAGACGCCTGTGCTAAATATGGCTTAAAAATATATCTAAACTATAGTTTTAGTTGGTTTTAAATAATAGTAAAACTCTAATGAAGTATTTTGGAAAATGGTTGCAGAAACCTATTTAACCCATGTTCTCATAGATAAAGATTCTCATGTCAGAAGAAAAACCTCCATGTCCCCATGTTAGGGGCACTGGTTTAGTGGACCTGGGAGGCCCAGGGTGGATCAGGGACAAGTGGCCTGAGAAAGCCCGCCTTGTGCTGAGAAGCACAGTGTCCTGGGTGCTGAGACAGGGATCCCAGATACTCAATTCTGACAGTCTGCTCTGGGGAGCTGAGCTGGGCCTGGACTGTGCACTGTACACACAGGCTGAACAGAAACAGGTAAAAACAGGAGGTTGGAAAACTAGAAATAAAAAGTAAACCCTCTCTCTCTCCCCCTTGCAGGTGGGATGTCAGAACTGTGCTGCAGTAGGAAGGTAGCCCCTCCGCTCCCCACTCGCTACATTGGGGGTTACCTGTGCTAAGGATGGGTTCCAGAGAATGGGCCTTTCCCGACCTGCTGCGCTGAAAAGACAACCAGTAGCATCCTCCGTGCAGTTTGACATGGGCGCTCGCAGCTGTCTGCCAGCAGGGCTCTCCTGAAAACTACCCTTGCCAACTAAGCTTCATCCTCACTGATGCCTGTGTGCCAGTCATACCTGGTCCCTAGGCTAGGTGCCCGGGACAAAGAAGGACCGCGCCACAATTCCCACTGGAGCCCATGTGGACAACACAGGCTTCCAGGGCCAGGTTCCTGGTGCAGCCCTGGCTCTCCCATCATGTGACTTCTCTATGCCTTTGTTTCCTCTCCCATAAAATGGGGACAGTGGTGACATAAATTCTAAATTTCTAGGTGGGTACCTTCCTTGTCAAGCACTTAGCCAGTTCCTGACATGGGTGATATAAAGCTGTTACTGTGCTAATATATCCCCCGTTACAATAAGTCAGTGTTCTCAACCTTCCTAATGCCGCAGCCCTTTAATACAGTTCCTGTGGGTCGTGACCCACAGGTTGAGAACCACTGTAATAAGTAAACCAAGGCAGGAGCGTAGAGAAGGAAATGGGTTTTCACAGTAGGAGGAGGCTCAGAGCAGTGTTATGTGCCTGGGAGGATGAGTTGGATCCAGCAGGTGCGGAGGATAAGCCAGGCAGAGCAGAAGCCACAGGATGGGAAAGGCAGGGGCCACAGGGCTGAGAGGGGACGAGGGGGTCAAAGGAAGCTGGGAGATGGGGCACAGCCTTGACCACGATAGGAAGGATAAGGACAGTCAGTTTGAAAAGTCTCCACGCTAGAGCCAACATCCAGAAATGGTGATTCCTTCAACCTTCCAACTAATTACCTCTGAAAAAAACCTCTATATGAGAGCGTTAATATTCAATATCCACATTTGTCAGGGTAAGTCAGAGAGAGATGATTATTCAGGAAAATAATTAATGTTCCTTTGTCCCATCCTCCAAATCTAAAACCCACCACTGGCCTTTTCTCTAGTAAGAAAAAGACACACGCATTGCCCATTTCAGATATTTGCTCATTTTAAAGTACTTTTCATAAATATTGGCTTCACTCCAAGGTTTTCAGCCAGAGAATGCATCACCATTTAATTCAACCAGAAACGTTCCTTTCCCATGAATCACATAGGGAAGAATATTTCTCATGTTAAAACATTGTTTCATTCATTATTACTGCCCCCGTCAGGACATTTTCTTACAGAAATTTCCTCCAGTAGGATGATCAGTCTAGCAAACCCTGTTAAAAATGTTTAAAATTTCATGACATCAAAGGGACAGGACTTGGTTTTTGCTTATTCCTGGAGCTCCGTCCCCTCCTTAGTAGCCACTGGCCGGACAATGAGCAGTTGTCGCCTTGGTCCTGCCAACTCCACCTCTCGGGAGGAGTCCTCTCTAAGAGTGTCCTCAGCCATTAACTCAAGTAGGTCAAGACTTGAGAACTCCATGAGGACAACAACACAGAATCCGGGGCAAACAACATTGCCAGAAACCAAACAAACACACATTTGCAACAGGAAAAGAAAAAACCCCACACCCCGTCAACTTGTGAAATGAGTAACCCTCTCCCACCAGGAATTTCAATTGAGCGTGTGATCCCTGCCGGCAAAGCGCACTGCCCTTTCGCAGACCCCAGCGCTCCACGCTAACGGGGGCGGGGGGAACCATCTGTCATGCGATAAATCTGAACTGACATCAAGGGTGAAATCCCTAAATCGATCCGACTGGAAATATAAATCCACACTTGACCAACTAACACCTTGAACTTCCTAAAACCAGTTTACTCGAGTGCATGTTGTAAGTTCTTTGCTGAAATTCAAGTCAGAAAAAAAAAAAAAGAAAGAAACACTACCCACATACTACGAGGACTTACTGAATAAAATATGTCACTGTTTTATTAAATTTCTCTACTTTCTGATATTCCAATGAATCAGTTTGGATTTTTAAGAAGGTAGCATCAGGGAACTTCCAAGCAGGAGCTACTAGAAAAGTTCTATGTTCGAGGGGCGCTGAGCAGAGCCATCTACTTGGGGTGGAGGAGGGTTGTGGGGAGGAGTTGCATTTACAGGGCAAGTAAGAAGTTCTGGGCTGGGGTGGGAGAGACAAAAGGAGTTGAAGAAGGGGGGTTGGGCTAAGACATACCCTTAGCAATACCTATGCTTCCAAGACTCTTAGGATTCATCTCTGAGGTTGCAGGTGACACCACCCTCTACTAGGTGTGTACTTGTGCACATGTGTGTGAGCAGGGTGTGCATGAATGGGCACGTGTGAGGGTGAATATAAAAGTGAGAGAGACAGAGGCAGACTGACGGCATGCGGGAGCAGGTCTGGAAGCCGTCCTTTTACCAGACTGAAGGAGACCCTACCCTAGACTGACCCTCTCATGCAAAGAAGCAGAAACAGCTGAGGGCCAAGGAGATGAAGTGTCTTGTTCTAGCTACTCATGGACGGGCCAGCATCAGGACTGGGTTCTCCCCAAGGGCAACACCTAGGCATCATCACCACATCACCTACATGATTTTTTTTTTTTTTTTTGAGACAGAGCCTCAAGCTGTCCCCTTGGGTAGAGTGCTGTGGCATCACAGCCCACAGCAACCTAATCTTGGTTTTCCTGTGGAAGTTAAACCTTGATTTAGTCACTTCACAACCTAAGAGTGGCTGGCAATTCCAGTACGCTCACATCCAGGGCCGTGATTGCGTGAGATGGCCAGAATCCTCTCTGCTGTTTGTGTCCTCCACCCCTTCTCATGTTCCTCTGGACAGTGACTTTGGGCCTTTTAGCAATGTGTCTGGATCCTCCAGCTGGACACAAAAACTAAACTCTTTAGGTATCACCGGAACATCTTCCAACTCAGCACTCTCACTTCCTCCCACCTAAGTCACATCCCTAAATGCCAGCTGTAGTCAGTGAGGCTTTCTCAGAAGTCAGTGAGGAAAGGACTCCCACACGCAGCTCCATTTACAATCACCAAGGGGTGGAAACAACCGTGGTGCCCATCGACCCATGACTGGATCAGTGCACCGTGGTCTATGTATACCATGGAGTACCATTCAGCCATTAAAAAGATGGAGACTTTACCTCTTTTGTATTTACTTGGAGTTCTTAGTGAAGTATCACAGGAATGGAAAAGCTAGTAGCCAGTGTACTCACTACTAATAAGAAGCCAAGAGACCAACTGCTACATGCCCACAGAAGAGAAAAACTCAATTCAATTCAGTTTGGGGGTGAGGGGGCAGAGGGCAGAAGAGAGGGGGACTGGTGTGCTTCCAACTAATGGGCACAATGTAAGAGTGTATGGCACACCTCGTGGGTGCAGGACACAAGCACAGGGACTTTAACTAACTAATGCAAACTTGGTAACCTAATCGTTTGTACCGTCATATAGGAGAGGGGAGGGGAGGGGAGGAGTCCCAGATGGTCACTCTGCTCATCAACACAGAGCTTGGGGGAATTACAGAGCCTCCAGCGTGTCCCCAGTGTCTTCATGAGGGGCAGTCAATGACAGATCGTGTTTCTACCAGGTCCTGGGCCCTTCCCTTTCAAGCCCGAGCTAGGCATTCTAGGCCACATCCTGTGGGTGCCGCTGGGGGCTAAGCGTGCTGAGAATGTCTACACAGAGCCTCGATCTGATTTTAAAACCATCACGACTCTGCACTAAGAAGGTTTGGTTTTGTTTTGTTCCATGGGCCCCAGGACTAGCCAAGATCAACATTATAAACTGCTAATTCTGAACTGAATGGCACTGCTAACATTTTAGGAAACGACGAGGAGGGGGAAATATATATAGCCTTCTTCCTGAAGAAGTGAAGACACGGGCTAGGACAAACACTCGTGTGGGCAATTTAAACTGCTCCTTCCTGTGGCGCAGGCTGGCTCCTCTGGACCAGAGGGAGAAACGTGCCGGGGCCACCTACACCGTTTCGACCTGCCGCCTGCCGCTCCATCCTACCTGCTTTCCTCCCAGTCTCTGGGCTTCTTGGTTTCGTTGGGTTTTATGCAGCGAATGTAGTGGGGTGTGCATTTCATCAAAGTGCTTACAAGGTCGTTGGCTTGTTTCTGGAAAGGAAGAATAGCGTTAGAAACCTGGAACTCGCCCCTGCCACAGAGCCGATTTCAAAGGAGACCTGTAAAACTCTAGGAATTAATAGCCAGGAATTAATCTTCATGACAATGTGTTCATTAAGCTTAAGTCAGGTCTACTAAACTTTCTTCAAACTCTGCTGACTTTTATGATGATTTTATCACTCTTAAATGGGTTTGAAATTTAATCTTTGAAAGCAACTAGGCATTTTTAGTACAGTTAATAAAAACAACAAGAAAAAACCCGGAAGCCCTGGTTCAGCGCCTGTAGCTCAGTGGTTAGGGTACCTGCCACATAACACCGGGGCTGTTGGGTTTCAGCCCGGCCCACCCCTGCTAAACAAAGGAATGAAAAAATAGCCAGGTGTTGTGGCCGGTGTCTGCAGTACCAGCTATTTGGGAGGCTGAGACAAGAGAATCGCTTAAGCCCTACAGTTGGAGGTTGCTGTAAGCTGTGATGCCACAGCACTCTACCAAGTGCAACATAGTGAGACTCTGTCTCAAAATAAACAAAACCAAAAGCCCAGTAAATCTTCACATACCATTCTCTTCATGTGCTATAAGGAAGCATGTCAGTTATTAATAAATTAGGTTTGTTTTATACTGATTGAGAGCCTTTGAAAATACATTGTTCTTATTAACTTTTTGCTACCCCATAATATTTATAACGCTAAATTGTCAAAATCCCTAACATTCTCTTTGCCGGCAGTCCAACTAATGAAGAATCAATTTATTTAGAAAAGTAGTTACAGCATAGGAAATTCATGAAGATCTCAAAATCTCAAACTTCTATAAAGAAGTTCATTCAATACCTTACTCAATATGTTCTCTTTCTTTTTGTTCCTTTTTTGTTTGTTTTTATTGTTTGAGATTCATTGAGGGTTCATTCATTCATTCACAAAGAATTAGGTTAAACTGATGGCATTTGTTGGGTAAATTCCCTCTTATTGTTGTGTCCTGCCCCCAAGAGGTGTGCCATACACTGTGACCCCCCATGCTCCTCACCTCCCTCATTCCCGCATTCCCCTAATCCCCTATCAGGTATTAAATCATCCGCTGCCTTCATATTAGAATTGAGTACATTGGATTCTGGCTTCCCCATTCTTGTGATGCTTTACTAAGAAGAATGTGTTCCACCTCTATCCAGGTTAATACAAAAGATGTAAAGTGTCCATCTTTTTTAGTGGCTGCCATTCCTGGTGGGCATGTAGGTTGTTTCCACAATTTGGTGATTGTAAATTGAGCTGTTGTAAACAGACTAGTGCAAATATTCTTAGGATAAAATTATTATTTTTTCTTCTGGGTAGATGCCTATTAATGGATTGCAGGATCAAATGGGAGGTCTAATTTGAGTGCTTTGAGGATTCTCCATACTTCCTTCCAAAAAGGTTGTATTAGGTTACAGACCCACCAGCGATGTAAAAGTGTTCCCTTCTCTCCACATCCACGCCAGCATCTGCAGCTTTGAGACTTTGTGATGTGGGCTATTCTCACTGGGGTTAGGTGATCTCTCAGAGAGGTTTTGATTTGCATTTCTCTGATAATTAGGGATGATGAGCATTTTTTCATATTTGTTAGCTATTCACCTGTCTTCTTTAGGGACGGTTCTATTCATCTCTTTTGCCCAGTGATATAAGGGATTGTTGGCTCTTTTTTTTGTTGATTTGAGTTCTCTGTAGATCCTACTTATCAAGCTTTTGTCCAATTCATAGTATGCAAATACCTTTTCCCATTCTGATGGCTGTCTATTTGCTTTGGTTGTTGTTTCCCTAGCTGTACAGATACTTTTGAGTTTAATTAAGTCTCATTTGTTTATTTTTGTTGTTGTTGCAATTGCTACTCAAATCTTCTTTATAAAATCTTTTCCCAGGCTGATATCTTCATTTATTTACCCCACACTATCTTTGAGGATTTTTATAGTTTCATGCCTTATGGTTATTTATTTATTTTTGAGACAGAGTCTCACTTGGTCACCCATGGTAGAGTGTGGTAGCATCTTAGCTCACAGCAACTTCAAACTCTTGGGTTCGAGTGATCCTCTTGCCTCAGCCTTCCAAGTAGCTGGGACTACAGTGCCTGCCACAATGCCCAGCTATTTTTTAGAGATGGGGATCTTGCTCTGGTTCAGGCTGGTCTTGAACCTGTGAGCTCAGGCAATCCACCCCCCTTGGCCTCCCAACATGCCTTAGATTTAAATCTTTTATCCAGGCCCTGTGCGGTGGCTCATACCTGTAATCTCAGCACTTAGGAAGCTGAGGTGTGTGGATTGCCTGAGTTCACAGGTTTGAGACCAGCTTGAGCAAGAGCAAGACCCTGTCTCTGAAAAATAGCTGGGCATTGTGGTGGGTGTCTATAGTCCCAGCTACTTGGGAGGCTGAGGCAAGAGAATCACTTAAGCACAAGAGTTTGAGGTTGCTGTGAGCAGTGACTGCACAGCACTCTACCGAGGGCAACAAAAGTAAGAATCTCAAAAACAAAAGCAAAAAACCCCCACTTTTATCCATCTTGAATCAATTTTTGTAAGTGGTGCAGGTCCAGTTTCAGTCTTTTACATGTGGTTATCCAGTTCTCCCAGTACCATTTATTGAATAGGGATTCTTTCCATGTTCTTGTTTGGTTTATCAAAGATCCAGTGGTTGTAAGATGTTAGTTTTATCTCATGGTTTTCTATTTGGTACCTATGCATTGTGTATCCAAAATGAGTTAATGCTGAAAAAGTCATATAAATAAAGCTGACATTGCTTATGAAGTATTTCAGGCCATGAGAATCTCAAGTGTTTTCCGAGGAACTGAGAGCAGAGCTCACATCAGCATTCCCAGCACACAGCTGAGCATACCCTGTGGGTCCACGGATGTGGCTCACATGCAAACCCTACTTCCAAGCAAATCAGCATGAAGAGAGAAAACCTCTAAAAGCAAATAGTAAGAAGGGATCTTGGAAGCCAGAAAACCATTACAAAGTCAGCAGAAAAGATTCGCTTGCAAGAGACAATCCTCTCTCAATTAGGGCTTTTCTGTTTTCATGGGTTTGGGAAATCTGAAACCCCTGAGAAAAACTACTGGATAAATTCAGAGCGAGATGCTCATTGGTGAAGTAAGTTCTTTGTTTAAATGTGCAGAAAACAGTGTCTTGAAATTGAGGACAGACAGAGATACAAAGGTTGCACAATTAAAGCAATCTCCTGTGATGAAAAAGTAAATTGCCTCTTATCTTCTTTGATAATGTAGATTGCGCTTGAGAACAAATCTGAATGATCTTTGCAACATATCAGGTAGAGCTGGAAAGGGACTGCAGAGCTGCTTATAACAAAGCTTTTTTCTAAAGTATCCAAATCCTTAGTTTTTTAACTGTTAATTTTAGATTTCTGTTTTTCATTTAATTTAAATGTTTAATTTCTAAGAATGCCTTTGCAGACTCTTCTGTCTTCAGCACTTAAAAGCACACCTTCTTTTTACCTTAGCATAAAAAAAACATACAGAGGCCTAGGGTGACTTAAATTCATGTGTTGCTTGCCACAGTTCTCTCTAGCTCAAAATAACAGACAGCATTTACTGAGTTAAACATTATGGGCTAGACACCCAGATGATCTCATTTATGCCTCACAACAACTCAACAGGTAGGTACTGTT